TGTTCCCAATTTAATGAATTTTTGTTATTTGAACTTTGTAACGCATAAATTCAATAATTCCGTTGATATTAATTTTTTTGGAAAAAATCTCGTAGGGGTATAGCGATTTTAACTTCAGCAAATATTTTCAGTATATTTTCAGTTTCTTATATCATTTATTTTTTAAATTATGACGTCATCGACTTTTTTTTTAAATGGTAACCTATATTTTTTATTATTGATTTTGGTAGTAGTTTTTATTCCGGTTCCGACCGTATAAAATTTTCAATATGTTATTATTTGAAAAAAATCGAGAAAAACAGTTTTAAAATTCAAATAACAAAAATTCATTAAATTGGGAAAATTTATCTAGTTGCCGGTGTAACACATTAGTTCGATTTTTCAACTATTTGTATAATTTCAAAATAAAAATGAATGTGCCGTCGATAACTTTCCGTCAAACTTAGGCAAATAGATAAATTTTCCCAATTTCATGAATTTTTGTTATTTGAACTTTAAGACTGTTTTTCCCGATTTTTTTCAAATATAACATATTGAAAATTTTATACGGTCAGAACCGGAATAAAAACTACTACCAAAATCAATAATAAAAAATATAGGTTGTCATTTAAAAAAAAGTCGATGACGTCATAACTTAAAAAATAAATGACATAAGAAACTGAAAATAGACTGAAAACATTTGCTGAAGTTAAAATCGCTACACCCCTTCGAGATTTTTTCCAAAAAAATTAATATCAACGGAATTACTGAATTTATGCGTTACTTAATTTCCACACTGTATAATATTTGAATTTAATTTAAACAATTCACTTATAAATCATTCCAAACTTGTTTTTATTAGCATTAATAATGCAGTACTACATATACATACTATATGTTTTATATTGCAAATAAAAATTTAAAAATAAACATTAATTAATTACATTTAATGTATCCTGCTGAATTTATTTTAGCATGAACACTACCTTATATAGTATTAATTTGTTTTAATTCAGTTATATGGGATACTTTTTTGCTTTCAATAGGCATACACATATTCAAAAAATAATATTCTTAATTAATTTTAATTCCATAATGTATACATATTACTAGATTTAACATGTAAATGTAAATTTAAAAATCAATATTATTAATTGCATTTAATGTATATAATTCATTTAGTATTAATTTGTTTCAATTAAGTTCTATGAAACACTTTTTGCTTTCAATAAATATAAGCATTTTAACAAAATTAATTTTTTTATTAATTTTAATTCCATAATACATGTTAGATTTATTATGTAAATGTAAATTTAAAATTCAAGTTTATTAATTAGATTTAATGTACCGTAAAACAGGGTGACTTGACTACTTTTTTGACAAACTGTGGATGCGCAAAGCGTTTCTAGCAACGGAAAAGCGAATCAAAAAATATTTAGCAACTCTTTGGACTTTGGGGAACAGATTGCCGTAGGAGTTATTCCTCCAACTCCTCCCAATTTTTGGAAAAAAATGTCAAAGGTCATTTTTCAAGTCATCCCGTTATGGGGCGGCTTGAAAAATGGCCGAAATTCAATTTCAGTTTCAACTTAGTCTCATATAGGGGCTAGATGAAACACAAATATGCAAAAAAAAGTAGGTACAAGTGATCTGAATTTAGTTTTAGGCTTAATATAGGGGATTAAATCGTCATTTTATGGTCATTTATGCACAATAATATTGGAAAACTTTTATTAATGTGAGTTTGGTAGGTACAGCAGCAAAAAACAAAATAAATAAATAATCTTGTAAAACAATAAGTATAAAACGATTCTAATAAACTAAAAGAAATTGTAAAAATAAATAAAAGTAATTCTCATAATATTCTACCTACAAATATTTGTACTAATCTTTTACAGGTTTATTCCCGGAAACTTAATTGCACCTCTTCTAAGTTCCTGAGGATTCAGTCTTCTCTTTATTTCAGTTTTCACCACCAATGACTCCTCTTTGACCCAGGGAAAGATGAAAGCGTCCTTGATTTTGGAGTGTGCCCTCATATAAGAGCAAACATATAAGTCGTTTTCAACCGAGATTATCTTGGCCACAAATCTTTTGGCTACATTTTTGTCCGTTTTTAACTCTACCAGTATGAAGTCATTTGGTTTGTAGTCTTTGGTCTCTGGAGTAGCCTCTTTATCAGTCATCATATCAGTCTCTTCACAAGGCACCTTTTCAGTCTCATTAATTGTAGAGGTGCTAGGTGCAGGCTCCATTTCATTTGGATATTCATTCTCTTCTAACTCAATAATATCTTCATTATATTCTTCTGTTTCAGAAGCAATGAGGCTTTTCTCTAAATCATCATTGAGAATGGAATCTTCGTCACTGTCTGATACATATTTCTTATTTTTTCTCTTTTTGGGCTGCGTCTTACTCTTCTTTGGTGCTGACTCTGGTTCCTCAATTAACAAATCTTCCTGAGAGACGCTTTTTCCTGGCTCAATATTCTGCTTCTTACGTCTGCCTTTTGCAGTTCGACCTTCTCTTCCACATCTGGCCTCCTTGAACATTTCATTCATTGCATGACAAGCATCAGCTACTGCATTATCGAATGGGACTTCTTTCGGCAATTTGTTCAAAACTTTATCTCTGCACAGAGGAAATATCCGTGTCGCCGCAAATCCGGATACAATATTTGCCGAACTAGTTAAGTCGATTTCGGTTAGAGCTTGTTTTGAAAGGCGTGGGAAAACATCTTTTCGAATCACACCTTTGTTGCTCTTTTTCCAAACACGCAATATTTTGCGCCAAGCATTTTTTATGGGCCGGAAACAACTGTCATCGAGGGGTTGGGTCATGTGGGTTCTGTTGGGCGGCAGCAAAATAAATCTTATATTATTTTCCTCGCAGAGTGAGATCACTTTGGTGGAAATATGACACGCTAAGTTGTCTCCAACAAGTATTTTTGGTGAATCTGGAAGCAACTGAAAATATGGTAGGGCAATAGTAGAAAACCAGTCCTCGAAAAGTGCTGTATTGAACCATCCAGATGCACTTCTGTTATATATTGCCTTAGATGGTTCATGTTCCGTCCAATTTGCCCACAGATGTTCCGCCTTATAAACGATGTAGATTGGGAGCATTGTGCCCGACGCTGAGCAGCTAAACATAACGGACATTGCTGTTTTCGACGTGTCCATTACTTTCTCTCCTCGCTTCGATGTGCGGCGAACGACGACCTTAACACGTCCCGGGTCGTCTGAGAAATTGGTTTCGTCGTAGTTAACGATGGCTTCTGGAGGAACATTTTCCATTGCGGTGGATAAATTGTCGAAATATCGGTTGATGGTCTGTGTATCAGTTTTCGCTCGGCTCCCTTTGATTGCTTCAGAAGTCCTCTGTGATAACACGTCCTTATGCCGAGCCATAAATGCGTGGTACCAATCCGTCCCTGGCATGTTGTCCTTAAATGCTGCTACACGCAAACCCCTTCGGTTTAAATAATCCCGGACAAAATATCTTAGTTCAGTAACGTCGAAGGGGAATCCCCAATCGGCGGCAACAGAAACGCAATGAAAAATAATCCTTTCATCGTCTCGTGATAAAGCGGTTTGTCCGCCTGGACGTTTCATGTGTTTATTGTTTACTTTTCTGCATAAAGTAGGGATTGGGATTCCACATGCTTCCCCAATGGAAGCAAGGGTAAGTCCAGTGGTCCGGTATATGTTTACGGCCCTCCTAAGGGTCTCGTTCGAATAGTTTCGGTAGTGTCTGGAGCCCACTAGCTTTTATACTTACGTATCATTTTATTTCAAGCCGCCCCTTAAAATACAAAAAAAAAAAAAGTGGTACGCCACTGACGCAAGGAGTTCAAGATTAACAAAATGAGGTTAAGATATTGTGGCCAGATAAATAGGCATCAGAAAAAAAAATATCTAAGTGCTCTAACTTTTATCTATCTTATCTATGCACATGGAAGTATTTGACAATTAAAAAAGGTGGGTTTTCTTACGGTTTTTTGTTCGCCTTCTACAGTAACAGGTGGGCGTTTCAACAGCTATACATGTTTGAATATGATAGTTAGAAACCTTCCACACGCATCCCTAACCAGTGCGCATGTTTGCTATTAACCACAAGATGTCGCTAATTAATCAAATTTAATGCGAGCCGACGCGACGTATTATCTCACCCCGGAGTTTAAAGTCGCCCCGTTTTACGGTACCTACTGAATTTGTTTTAATATGATGCTGTTGGTATATACCTCATAAAATATTAATTTGTTTTAAATGAGTTTCATGGGCTACTATGTGGGTCGTATATTTAAATGTCGATAAATTGTAAATAAAATGAATTCAACTTTTAAAGTTTTATTTCTCAATTGTGGATTAAAAATTATATAAAACAAATATAGCTTTTCATATACTCATTATAATATTACAACTTGACACAATCATTCTCAAAAAAACACCTTTTTATCTTAGAATATACAAATTCAATACCATTAAACTAATTACATGTTATTACGTATTTATGACATTTCGAATATATTAAATATTTTAAAGGAATATACAATTGAAAGTATAAAACTACGAAAAGTATTGAATCTCATAAAAATCACTAATAAATTTGCTACTGTATTATTCACCTGGCTATTCACATTATGTACAATAAAAACAAATTTATGGCAACATAAATTTGTGTTCACATAAATTAATAACATAATTTACATTTTTTTGTACAATTGCAATAATATAATTTAGGCAGGAAAAATTGAATCCCATATAAAATATTATTAAAATATCTATTATCAGTAACAGATTTCATCTAAATAAATTGTATAAAAAAGAACAAATAATATTCATGCATACTAAAGTCGAAAACAGTTATTTTATTTTATTCATTTATTTCAATAACAATTTAGTTATAATTAGAACCAATTACAACTCATTGTAGGTCGCACATTTAAATGTAGCCGATAAATTGTAATTAAAACAAATTCTACTATAAGAGTATTATTTCTCAATTCTAAGTTAAAGAATGTATAAAATGTGATCGAGTGGTAAGGACACTTGCTTCTCAACCTGGAGTCCCGGGTTCGATCCCCGGTCGAGGAACTAGGATATTTTCTAAAGCAGAACTTAATCCTAACATACTCGGACATTGGGTAGGTATTCATTGTCTCCAAATGTGTAGCCCTCTCCCACACAAGGTACTTTGAGAATTTAGTATAAGTTTTCATAAACATAGGTACTTATTAAAATGATTATAACTTGACACAGTAATTCCCATAAACCTTTTTTCTTAAAATATGTACAAATTCGATACTATTAAACTAATGTTATTACATATTTATAACATTTTGATGAATTAAATAGAATATGCAATTAAAAAGTATAAAAATGTGAAGAGTCGAATCTTATAAAAACCAATAAATTAGCTGTTGTACTATTCACATTATAATAATAAAAATAATCGACTTTATTAAAGAAAAATGCAATACATACATTTTTAATATTGCACAGAGAGGCGAAGTTTAGCTTAACCTGCATGAAAAATATTTTACACATTATAAATATATTCATTATAAACATGAAATAAAAAAAAAATAATAAATAAAATCAAGAAAATAATTTAATTTAACCTAATTCTAAAATGAATTTATTGATGGAAAATATACACATACATATAGAAACATATAATTTATTAAATACTCGCTTACGCATATTACAAAATCTATGTATAATTAAAAAAATAATAATAAGTTTACATTATGTACAATAAAAACAAATTTATATGGTTGACACATGCGAGAACACGTATTTAATCAAATTAATAGCAATTTACATTTTTTGTACAATTGCAATAAAAAGATAATTTAGGCCAGAAAAATTTATTCCAGTTTAAATTATTAAAATATCTATTGTCAATAGCAGATTCGATATAAATGAATTGCATAAATAAATAACTTACATTATATTAAATACAAAAATAGTTATTTTATTTACTCATTTATGTATTTCATTAACAATTTAGTTGTAATTAGAACCAATTATTTCTCATTTAAAAACTTGACACAATCATTCTCATAAAGAAAAACATTTTTATTGTAAAATATATACAAATTCAAAACTATTAAAATATCACGTTTCGAACGTGTTAAATATTTCACTGAAATATGCAAATAAAAAGTATAAAAATACGAAAAATATTGAATCTCATAAAAATCAATATATTAACTATTGTACTATGCAAATTATGTACAATAGAAACAAACTGAGTGTAACACATATATATTCAAATTAATAACAAATGACTATTTTTCTGCAATTGCAATATAAACAAAATTTAAGCAGGAAACATTGAATCCCGTTTAAATTATTATAACATCCAATTTAAATTATTATAAAATCTATTGTAAATTATTATAACATCTATTTGATTTAAATCAATTGCAGAAAAAAGAATTAAATAATATTCATACTTATTAAAAAATAAAATAGGATGCAGATTAAATCAAGCAAGGCAAATAAAAAATGAGCATTTCTCATTAATTTTCAATGGTATTTAAATTATGTTCAATTAGTGATTTTTTACGGGGAAGGGTATCAGAGATAATCTTAGGCATTGTATAAATACATTCCAAGAACATAAAAAATATTTTCTAAGCAGAAATCTAAAATAGTCTTACTTGTAAAGTCCTAGGACGTCTCTGAGTAAACTTAAAGTTATTTTGAAGTTGTTCGTATAAACGAAGCTTTATGTCAACAATGTTCAATATGTAGAATTACTTAGTTATTAGTTTTTTTATATACTTAACTTAACAGCTTCCTAAAAAGACATGATCTGTGAAATTTTCTTTTAGGTACCGATAGATGCCACAACGACCTCCACACACTTACAACATTCCACTATAGAATCACATTCGGACAATTTAGTCATAAGTAGGAGCCATCTTGAGCATATCAACAGTAAGTTGGATCAACTCACCAAGCGGGTTCAGTCGTTGGAAACCACCCTAGCGACGGACGTCAAGACGATCTTGGCGCTGTTGCAGGCCCAACAACCCCCAGCAGTGAGGTTTCGACGATTAAGCAAGAGGTAAGAGGTTTTAGCGTGATTTCATTAAAATCTAATTAGGTTTTGTACGTGAAAGCGTAAATTAAAACAAATTGACTGGAGATATCATCGATTATAACATAATGATATCTCAATTCGTTTTAAAATGTACTACACTTCCGCTTATCATGTTCCTGGATATTTACGTAGTTAATGTAGCTTTTACTGTGTTCTTTAGTGTTAGATACTCTTAATTTTTTTTTTACCATTTCAGTGAAATAACTTCCCAGTCACACAAATATACAAAAAATATCGGTCCTTTGTCCTATTCAGTTCCATATCCATATTAACGACTTAGTTTCTGTGACATCTAATCTTTTGCAGTGTTTGATTAATGACAGTAACCCTCCGTTCGAAATTTCCAGATCCTCTCATCCTATCTTGTCATTCATAACATCTCAGCGGGCATGTCATGATATAAGGTACAAATTTATCACTCAGGTTTCCTTAACACTGGCAGAGATATATCAGAATCTATTATAGTTAACACTTGTATAGTAATTCTTCGTTTGGGCGATCTATTATTTGAAAACGACACTCATGATCAGATTTCCCAAAAAATACTAAAAGTATCTAAAAATTATATACTTGTTGCTTCTGTAGTTATTTCGCTGTTGCTTGTTCTTTACAAACTGTATTTAAATGCGATGTTGCTCTTGTTGCGCTTATTTTTTTTATGTTTTCTTCTCTTCTTTCCTTTTTAGATAAATATATAGAAACAAATTTAATCTTTTCAGATGCCTGAATATGAAAATGTAGCCATAGATCCAAGTAGAAGTAGATATACATTTCAGAGATCCGTTAGTGAGCCAAAGCCAATCTCAAAAAATCACCATTCCCAAGTTCTTCATAGGTAATGGACATAATAAATAGAACATTGTTAAAATTGCACACACTTTAAAATTCAAGTAATTTATGTGGATATGAGCATAATTTTTCTTACTGGTATTTTAGGAATTGTCATGAACAATACATGTCAGGTATTCAGTGGTGCGAGGCATGTGGCGCAGCCTTCCACCTAGACCGCCCGGGTTTAATTCTGTGCCCAGCCAAGTCAATATGCTATATTGGATGAACGGACGTACCTACATCAGCATGGAAGGGAATTTTAAACAGTGAATTCCGTGTATTTGCGATATGAGGATGTTAAAGATCCCTACCCAAACGACAAAGTGGGAGTTTTTTAAATTGCCGTACTAGAGGTTCCACTGTTTACAAAATAAGCTTATGTTCTGGCTTTGATAGCCAAACTCGGCCGACATTGAATAAGCGTAGCGATCTAAAGAAGTGTTCAGAGCGAGACCTGTTTGTGGTAAAATTAGAAACGTTTAAAATGTGTTTATTTTGTAAGAGAATAAGAAAGAAAGAACAAGAAAAATTTAATTTCATACAAACAGGTAAGTACTTCTTATTCAAGGTGTTTAAGAGACTGCCAAAAAAAAGTGTTGTAGATCTCGAAGAGACAAGTACAAATTCATTTTTTTTTCTATATCACTTCATTTCTAAGACAAAAGGGGTTGAAAAGTAAAAGTTTGAAGAGTAAAAGCTCATGCTGATATTTCAAAGATAATTTTTTGTGCCATATAAACCAATCAAATGAATAAATTTTTGACCACGTGTGTCAAAATAGACAAATCAATGTGTGCTTAAGCCGACCTGAACAATCCTCATAATTTTGTTAGCACTGCCCTCAAAAAACAATGGTGATTCAATAGACCTTCTTAAAGACATCTATAAATTCTTATTTTAGAAATTTTTCGAAATTTTTTTGCACTCCAAAAAATAACTTTTTAAAAAATATATTTTTATGTTTTGTATGGCGTTTTAAAAATTAATACATTTCTATGATGACAATTTTTTGATTACATTAATTTTATTTAATTTTTTTTTTATTTACTGGTTTGCAATTTGAAGGGTGTTTTCAACCCCTTTTATTTCAGAAATAGAGCGAGATATAGAAAAAATTTAGTAGAGTTTGTACTTGTATCATCGAGATCTACTATAACAATTTTTGCCATTCTCTACAACACCCTGTATCTGTTGCGATAAAAGTTAATTTTTCTTGTTTCTTCTTCCTCGAGTTCTCATAAAATAAATACAATTTACGTATATCAAAAGAATCAGCAGCGGGATTCCGTTTTACGTCGACCGAGTCGATGTCGAGGCGAGGGAAAAGCCGATCGAATATCTTTTAGGAATTCTATTTCTCGATCGAAAAAATCATCGGAAATCGTCGGCGTTTTGAATAAATGAAAACAGTTTTGATGTAATGGGAATGAAATATAGCCCAATTTGTTAGAATCTCATTTAAAATAATAGGCGTTATGATATTTTATTGTAAGTAAAACATGATAGCAATAGTTCGCGAAAGAAGCGTTTTTATCGTTTAATTACATCGTTAAATCGCTCCAAATTTTTTTAAGTCTTTCACGGCCGCATGGGCCGTTAATACTACCCAGAGCCATTTCTGAATGCGCTTCAAAAATATCAGTATTATTTCCCAGTGGGCATCTTTTATTTTAAAGGCCATTATATATAAATACCTTTATATCTTTAAACAAAACCAGAAACAAAACATTTAGGTTATCTACAGGCACAGAGATTGACAGAGATGATCCAAATATAACAAAGAACAAAGACAGGTACATAGATGACAAAGACACAAGTATAACTCGACTCCTTAGATGCAATCGATGACTTTCATCGAGTTTCTAGTCGTATTTCGATAAACGGAATTCAAATTATCGACTTAAGATGGCCTACTCGATTCGAATCGTGAAACGGAATCCCCCTGCAGTACTTCCGAGTCCAAAGCTGTGGTCGGCAGAGCATAATGGTCAGAAGACATTAATTTCAGAGTAACGTTTCTTCGACTAATATACGAAGCTCGACGAGATGTACGATATTTAAAACTTTTCATACTGCATTTTTATGAAAAAGAATGTTTTTGACAAATATGTCTTGTCTGGAATCAACTGTATTTATTATGTTTAATAATCC